ACACAATTTAAGAACATACAGATGCTACCCTACTTACAAACATTCGAGTTACAAACATTTGGACACATGAACAGACTGCCGTGTTAGTTAAAGTTCGTTAAAGAAGTTTTTTATTACAGTATTTATTATTAACCCTTTGAGGGTTTTGGCCGTACTAGTACGGCTTATGACCCAGGGTTTTTGACGTACTAGTACGCCTAAATTCTAGCGCCCTCAAATCTAGTGGGAGAAAGCTGGTAGGCATAAATATGAAAGAAAGGGTCTATGTGGTCAGTGTGTGCAGTATTAAAAAAAATCCTGCAGCACACAGTGCATAATGAGAAAAAAAAACTTTGACCGTATTTTTGGAATAAAACAGCGACTTTGCACTGTATTTTCGTATGGTATTTATTGTTGTATTCTAGTTTTCTTGGTCTCTTTTTATAGAATGGAAGACATATTACAGAAATTGAGATAATTTTGATTGGTTTTACAATGAAAAGTACCTTGAAAATGAGCTCAAAGTAGCAGAAATTTTTGATTTTTACCAAAGTTCAAAAGTAAACAAATCATGCCAAGCGTCCAATACACGTCAACTGGTGAGTCTAATATTCTTTCACGAGTGCGCTGATATTATTTATACCATTTCTACACTAATGCAGCAGTCTGCATAACAGTAAATCTTTTATTTTTTGTAAGAATAAAAATTGAAAGTGGAAAGCCAAAGAAATGTAAGAGGGGCCTGGGGACGTGACTAATGAACAGAGGAAATGTTATTTTAGTGCCAGGAATGTCTGTTTATTCTGGACCCTATTTGGAAATCGGCATCTTTTGAAATTTGTGTGAAATTGGCAAAATTGCTAAATTCTGACCACTGTATTGGATAGTTGAAATCAGTAAATGGGTGGTTTCTTGTACTCATTCAATAGAAAAAATGGAGTTCTAGAGAAATAGTTATGATTTTTGTCGACTAGTACACTGGAATTGGCCAAAAATAGGGCTCAAAGCGGGCAAAATCGCCGATGCGTAAACATCGTCAAGACCGCTAACTTCGCAAGAGCATAATTCCGTAAGTTTTCCATCAAATTTCATACTTTTGGTGTCATTATGATCGGGAAAAGATTCTCTATCTTTTCATAAGAACAAAAATTTTTTTTTTTTTTTAACCCTTTCAGGGTCCAAGGCCCAAATCTGGAGTCACGCACCAATGTCCAAGAATTTAAAAAAAAAAAAAATGTTATTTTTTCTTATAAAATCGTAGAGAATCTTTTTGTGAAAGTAATAAAACAAAAAGTACGAAATTTGGTGGAAAATTGACGAAATTATGCTCTCGCGAATTTTGATGTCAGCGATATTTACGAATCGGCGATTTTGCCGACTTTGACTCCCATTTGGCCAATTACATTATTCAGTCAACCAATTCCCTAGTATTTCACTAGTATTACTTCTATTCTATCGATTGACACAAGAATCGCCAAGTCAACTGTTCAGCTACAAATAAAGTGATCGGAAATTGTTAATTTGCCAATTTAACCAAAGTTCAAATATTCCATTTCAAAATAGGGTCCAGAATGAACAATGAGGCATTCCTGCACAAACTAACTTTCCTCTGTTCATTAGTTATGTTTTGAGGCTTACAAATAAATTCCATTTTTATTTTTTATTCAATAATGAATTTTTACTCACACCAAAAATAGAAATTTACTGTTTTGCAATTACTGTAATAATTGTATAAATACATCACCATATTTGTGAATGTATATTAGACCCACCAGCTGATTGTATGACGTGTGAAGTTGTTTGTTTACTCTTGAATATCGGCAAAAATTTAACATTCTGCTACTTTGAGCTCAGTTTCAACCATTCCAGTGCAAAACCAATCAAAATCATCTCTATTTCTGTAAAGTCTTCCATTCTATAAATGAAACCAAGAAATCGCAAATACCAACTAAAAAAACATACGAAAAAACACTGCAAAGTTGCCGTTTTAATCGAAAAATCATGATTTCATTTTTTTTCTCTCATTATACACAGTGTGCTGCAGGATCTGTTTTATGTGGTGCACACATACCACATAGATGTATTCTCTCATATCTAGGCCCAAATGTACCACTCACAGTTTATCAGAGTGAGCTGAGCTCATGGCGTAGATCTACGGTTTGGACCCTGAATGTAAAGCCGTAGATCTACGGGACGGACCCTGAAAGGGTTAAATTTGGCCGACCCTGAGAGCAAGTCTCGGAGAGGGCCTGTCAACCCTCAAGGGTTAAATCTAGGTAGTAGGTTGGTAGACAGCAACCACCCAGGGAGGTACTACCATCCTGCCAAGTGAGTGTAAAATGAAAGCCCTCTTATTGTTTTACATGATGGTAGGATTGCTGGTGTCCTTTTTTCTGTCTTAAACATGCAAGATTTCAGGTACGTCTTGCTACTTCTAGTTACACTTAGGTCACACTACACATACATGTACAAGCATATATATACACAACCCTCTGGGTTTTCTTTATTTTCTTTCTAGTTCTTGTTCTTGTTTATTTCATCTTATCTCCATGGGGAAGTGGAACAGAATTCTTCCTCTGTAAGCCATGCGTGTTGTAAGAGGCGACTAAAATGCTGGGAGCAAGGGGTTAGTAACCCCTTCTCCTGTATAAATTACTAAATTTAAAAAGATAAACTTTTGTTTTTCTTTTTGGGCCACCCTGCCTCGGTGGGATACGGCCGGTTTGATGAAAAAAAAAAAAAAAAAAAAGCAAAATAACTTACAAACAATTCAAGATACAAACAGCCTTCTGGAATGTAACTTGTTCGTAAGTTTGGGGGCGTCTGTATATGTAGTAATTCTCCATGGGGAAATGGAACAGAATTCTTCCTCCACAAGCTATGCATGTCATAAGAAAACAAAACCCAAAGTATTTCTTCTCCTATGCCAAATCAAAGTCGAGAATAACGTCCAGTATTGGGCCCTTACTTAAACAAGATGGGCCCTACACAGATGACAGCAAGGAAATGAGTGAGCTACTCAAGTCCCAATATGACTCAGTTTTTAGCAAGCCACTAACCAGACAGAGTCGAAAAGATTAAATGAACTTTTTATGGAGAGCACAGATTTGATGTTATCCACAAAGCTATCTGAATAGTAGTTGGTTGGTAGACAGCAACCGCCCCGGGAGGTACTACCGTCATGCCAAGTGAGTAGTAAAACGAAAGCCTGTAATTGCTTTTACATGATGGTAGGGTTGCTGGTGCCTTTTTTCTGTCTCAGACATGCAAGATTTCAGTACGTCTTGCTACTCTACTTACATTGGGGCAAACTAACATACATTACAAGCACCATATATACACACCCCTCTGGGTTTTCTTTAATTTCTTTCTAGTTCTTATCTTGTTTATTCCTCTTATCTCATGGGAAGTGGACAGGAATTTTCCTCCGTAGCAGCATGCGTTTTAAGGGACTAAAATGCCGGGGAGGCAAGGGGTAGTAACCTTCTCCTGTATATATTACTAAATGTAAAGGAAAACTTTCGTTTTCTTTTGGGCCACCTGCTCGTGGGATACGGCACGTGTGTTGAAAGAAGTAAGAAAGCCTAATCTGATGTTATCCTGACGCCAAAGACTTCGAACAGGCGATAAATGACATGCCCATGCACTCTGCCCCAGGGCCAGACTCATGGAACTCTGTGTTCATCAAGAACTGCAAGAAGCCCCTATCACGAGCCTTTACCATCCTATGGAGGAGGACATGGACATGGGGGTCGTCCCACAGTTACTAAAAACAACAGACATAGCCCCACTCCACAAAGGGGGCAGTAAGCAACAGCAAAGAACTACAGACCGATAGCACTAACATCCCATATCATAAAAATCTTTGAAAGAGTCCTAAGAAGCAAGATCACCACCCATCTAGAAACCCACCAGTTACACAACCCAGGGCAACATGGGTTTAGAACAGGTCGCTCCTGTCTGTCTCAACTATTGGATCACTACGACAAGGTCCTAGATGCACTAGAAGACAAAAAGAATGCAGATGTAATATATACAGACTTTGCAAAAGCCTTCGACAAGTGTGACCATGGCGTAATAGCGCACAAAATGCGTGCTAAAGGAATAACAGGAAAAGTCGGTTGATGGATCTATAATTTCCTCACTAACAGAACACAGTAGTAGCCAACAGAGTAAAGTCCGAGGCAGGCACGGTGAAAAGCTCTGTTCCACAAGGCACAGTACTCGCTCCCATCTTGTTCCTCATCCTCATATCTGACATAGACAAGGATGTCAGCCACAGCACTGTGTCTTCCTTTGCAGATGACACCCGAATCTGCATGACTGTCTTCCATTGCAGACACTGCAAGGCTCCAGGCGGACATCAACCAAATCTTTCAGTGGGCTGCAGAAAACAATATGAAGTTCAACGATGAGAAATTTCAATTACTCAGATATGGTAAACACGAGGAAATTAAATCTTCATCAGAGTACAAAACAAATTCTGGCCACAAAATAGAGCGAAACACCAACGTCAAAGACCTGGGAGTGATCATGTCGGAGGATCTCACCTTCAAGGACCATAACATTGTATCGATCGCATCTGCTAGAAAAATGACAGGATGGATAATGAGAACCTTCAAAACGAGGGATGCCAAGCCCATGATGACACTCTTCAGGTCACTTGTTTATCTAGGCTGGAATATTGCTGCACACTAACAGCACCTTTCAAGGCAGGTGAAATTGCTGACCTAGAAAATGTACAGAGAACCTTCACGGCGCGCATAACAGAGATAAAACACCTCAATTACTGGGAGCGCTTGAGGTTCCTGAACCTGTATTCCCTGGAACGCAGGCGGGAGAAATACATGATTATATACACCTGGAAAATCCTAGAGGGACTAGTTCCGAACTTGCACACGAAAATCACTCACTACGAAAGCAAAAGACTTGGCAGACGATGCAACATCCCCCCAATGAAAAGCAGGGGTGTCACTAGCACGTTAAGAGACCATACAATAAGTGTCAGGGGCCCGAGACTGTTCAACTGCCTCCCAGCATACATAAGGGGGATTACCAACAGACCCCTGGCAGTCTTCAAGCTGGCACTGGACAAGCACCTAAAGTCGGTTCCTGTTCAGCCTGGCTGTGGCTCGTACGTTGGTTTGTGTGCAGCCAGCAGTAACAGCCTGGTTGATCAGGCTCTGATCCACCAGGAGGCCTGGTCACAGACCGGGCCGCGGGGGCGTTGACCCCAGGAACTCTCTCCAGGTAAACTCCATGCAAGGGGCTAGTAACCCCTTCTCCTGTATGCATTACTAAATTTAAAAAAGACATTTTTGTTTTTCTTTTTGGGCTACCCTGCCTTGATGAGATATGGCCGGTTTGTTGAAAGGAAGAAGTTGTGTACTGTATATGCATTTTGTAGGCTTAGTTACATTGCTCACTAAATATATGATAGTGTAAACATGTTATCAGGTTTTTATATGCATTTGAAAGCGAAAAAAGTCCACGTTTCACTTTACAGTGATTTTCACTTCACAGCAGTAGCCCAAAACCTAGCTTTCTGTATAAGCAGGGCCCACCTGTATACCTTTTCTTCATACCCTGTTATCTGATCTTGTATGTTTAAAACTTCTGTTCATTTTGTGATCATATAGGCTTTTTTTTTTTTTTTTCCAACTGCTACTTCTGATATTGATACATCATTCATTGGAATACATGAAAATGTAAACTGTGTATTTTATGTATGTGTGGACACAATCATTTTATGCATAATAAAAGGGATAATTTTTTTATTTTTATGTTTTTTAACCAAAAATCAAAATCCATTCAAGAAATTTGTCCAATAAACATATTTCCTTTAATGATAACACCCATAAAATTTTCAAGTTAGATTATACGTTCAACTGCAAGACCACTGTTCTAGTCTACTGACAGAAAAAGTTTTCTTAGCTATGTAATACCAAACTACGTTCAGTACTTTTGAAGCTGGTCTCTTAATATCACTTCCCCAATTTACAAGTCCTGCTTAGCACCCAAGGAAATCCCATTATCAAATATTGTATCAGCTTATGAGTTTGAGTGTAGTACATACAACAGTAAAAAGAATATGGAATACAAATTAAAGACTAACCTGGAAGAAAGTTGTAAGTGAACAGCCATGTTCCTCTGTGGTGTATAGCAAAGTAGGTTGATGCATTGTCATCCTCATAGGAAGCCATGACCAGAGAGTCAGTAGCTGCAAAAATATAATATATTTTAAAATATGTAAAATGAAAAATGTGTTGCTATTCACCAAATGTAAATACTATGCACTTGCTTTCATTTAAATATAAACACTGTATTTAACTCAAGTTTCTTGACAAATTCCATTTCATTTTAAGTATATACAGTACAGTGAACCCCCGACATTTGATGGCATCAACATTCGATAAATCCGACATTTGATGCATTTTAACGCAAAAATTTTGACTTGACATTCGATGGAAAATCGACATTTAATACGATTCGTATGAGACGTGTCCACGTGTGGCCTGAACTGCACCGTGTGTGCCAGTGTTTACAAGCCAGCCAGTGTGTGTGCGCATCTAAGGATACATTCGGTACATTCCATATTATCACTGTTTTTGGTGCTTGTTTCTGCAAAATAAGTAAGCATGGGCCCCAAGAAAGCTTCTAGTGCCAACCCTTTGAGAAAAAAGGTGCTAATGACTATTGAAATGAAGAAAGAGATAATTACAAAGTACGAAAGTGGAGTGCGTGTGTCGGAGTGCATGATGATTTGGTAAAGAAATTGCCTGCAACTAGTGGTGATGTGAGTGAATTTAAGGCCAGCAAAGGTTGGTTTGAAAGATTTAAGAATCGTAGTGGCATACACAGTGTGGTAAGGCATGGTGAGGCTGCCAGTTCATGTCCTAATGGAAGGGGATATCCCTTCTAAACACTAACACCATCCACACTCTCCCCTCCTCCCATCCCATCAATCATCACCAGATCTTCATTAAAGGTAAGTGTCAATTATTCTATTGTTATTAATCTATTGTTATTATTCCATTGCATTAATATTTCATGTGGTAAAGTTTTTTTTTCATACTTTAGGGTGTCTTGCACAGATTAATTTGATTTCCATTATTTCTAATGGGGAAAATTAATTCGACTTTCGATATTTTCGACATTCAATGGCTCTCAGGAACGGATTAATATCGAATGTCGGGGGTCCACTGTATTTGAATTCCTGAAACTAAGACAAATGGCAAAATGAAGCACATTCATTCAGTCTCCAATACCTATTAGTAGGAATAACCAAAGCCAGACATCTTAAGTTAGACAGTAGTAAAGCAAAGGACAAACCTCGTCCTTTGAGACGATCATCGATTTGATGTTGTGAATGGGATATTGTCCCATAGTTCGCACACGAGGAGCAGGAGAGCGAGATCCCTTGTGACAGCATGCACAGAAGTATTTGTTAATTGGTAGCATATAAGTAAGGCACTCCTCTGAGAATCAATGTCAAATGTTATATATCGAAGAAGATAAAAGCTTCAGCAGACCAGATTTTACAAGCGTTTAGAAATACTTAAAAGACCAAGATTTGTGACTGTAATTTACTGATTAAAATTATGTAAATTATACCCATAGCCAAATAAAAGCACCTGAGTAATTCACCCAAGAATATCTAGATGCACTGTATCACATGCACATGACAAAAGGCTGTTTTAAAGAGCAAAGTTCAGCAAGAGAGAAGACATGTGATTTACATTTACCAATGGAATTAGACCTAGGAACATTGGAGGAGAGAAGAACCAGGAAAGACAAGATAACAACAAACAAAATAGTAATAACTGAGCACAGATAGGTTGTTTGTGGTGGGTAATGGGTACTCAGGGTCACAGCTAGAAGTTAAAACACACAGATGAGTCACAGGGAAGCAAGGAAGTATTTCTTCAGTTTAATGGTGGTCAGGAAGTGGAATAACCTTCAAGAAGTGGAGGAGGTAGGATCAACATAGTTTTAAGAGGAGGTATAATAGGGCCCTTGAGGCTAGGAGAGAGTGAATCTGGTACACACACTGAATAAATCTACTAACCATTAGAGCATATGAATCTCCCCTGTTTTCATTATCTCAGCTGTATTCCTATCCACCCATCTTGCTTTATCTACTTTTTAGTTCACTAATCACTTTCACTGACTTTACACTTACTTCTGGTCATTAACTCATTCTAATAGATCTTCCTCCTCCTTGTCCCAAACTTGAAATTTCTGCCTCTGTTCTATCCATTCCACATTAATTTACTTTCATTCATTACAGATATTCATCTGTTCCCTTGGTTTACTCATACTGTTTATCATTCTATAAAGTTTATTTCAGTAAAATTTACTGACAATGCCACACCCATTTCTACTATTTTACTATTTTTTTCTTTGCATTAGCTGCACAAAAATTCCATATACTGTACAAATTTATTCATCTCTATCATAAATCATAATTTTATTAAATTACTGATCAGCCTCTGAAAAAAATTAATTTTAGGCATTTTACTAAAAGACTGTACAGTATTATTTCAATATAATGTATGTATTTCATATTTTTTAACCTAAAACCCCCAAAAATAACACATATGCTAAGAACAAGGAAGAACGTGTTGCTAACAGACTGACTAACCCTTACACTAGTCAAAATGAATGAGGAAAGTGGTTATTTTTTTAATTTATACAAAATGCATACAGTAATGCTTTACATTTTTAACAGCTCCCTTAACCCAAAATATTCATCCATGCAAAAACAAATACTTGCAATATGAGTGTTAATAAAAAAAGCACAAAGCATAAGGTGAAGCAATCAAAGCTGCACAAGTACCTCCTTGATGGTAAGGGTGTGAGACATCATCTGGATGCTAGACTGTGATTCTGAAGTAGGAAGGCCTTCCAGTGATACAGAACGATTTAATGTTGGCGTTTCTGGAGCATGCATCTGTCCTGCCCCACTTCCAGTGCCTCCCATCACTCTTTGGCTTTTGAGGTACATCTCTGTTTGAACAACTACTTTAGTGATTTCTGACTTGCTGAAAGCCCGGATACCAAAAGCAGTTTTCAGTAACTTTTGAGGAGAAATCTGTAAAAATAAATGAAAATATAAATTTATATGCACAGAAAAATACATTTAATTCATAAACCACTTGTAAGCAATTATTAGCATCTATATAATAGTGAAATATGAATTACTTAAGAAAACCTTTTTTCAGTTCAAAGTTTAAGATAATCTGAAGCAGTAATAGTAAACAGTTTAATCAAGAAAAAGATTGAAAAGAAAATTCACATTCCGACATTTTTGTGTAAACTTTTATATATATATATATATATATATATATATATATATATATATATATATATATATATATTGCAGTTTGGAGGATTTTGTTGTGTATCATTTATACTATATGCCTAAGACTGTTGTATTCTGGCACCCATGCAAAAGCAGTGATAAGTGTAGTGTGTGAAAGTGTTGAATGATGATGAAAGTATTTTCTTTTGGGGATTTTCTTTCTTTTTTGGGTCACCTGCCTCGGTGGGAGACGCCGACTTGTTGGAAAGAAAAACAAAAAAAAAAAAAAAAAAAAAAAAAAAAAAAAAATTATATATATATATAGAAATTATATACTTTTTTGCGCTTCAGTCAACTATACCATAAGACTGTTAATCTGGCACAATGTGAGTAACATATATCGATACAACATTACATTCATCTAGTTATAGTCATGATCTGCCACTGCCACTTTCAACTACCTCTTTTTAAAAAACAGATGTATCCCACTGAGGCAGGTGCCCAAAACAGAAAACAAAAGTTCCCTTTTCAACTTTAGTAATGTATAAGGAGAGGGTTACTAGCCTTGTTTCCCTTTCAATTACCTATAGCAGTTATTCCACTCTTGGGACCCTACTAATATTGGATCACACTGCATATCAACTACTTAGACAGTTGATCTACACTGGCACCTCACTTAGTCTAAAATTATAGAGATAGCATACATACTGTATATTTGCAGAAGTGCAGATGGATCATTTACCTCGACTTGGAGATGCAATCATATTGGATCGTGAGTACTGCTTTACAACAGAGGAAAATACAAGCAATCAACAAGACTTTGAGCCTTAAATAGAAGCAATCAAGAATGCGTACCTATAAAGAAATAAGGAAAAGCAAATGAAGATTTACTAACAGTACCTTCAAGAGGATTGCAAAATGCAATATCATAATATTACACTTATTGGTGTTTCAATATGATAAAAATTATTCTATCACTTAACTTTGCATGTAAAATAGATACAGATGGTTACTGATTAAAATAAACCTAAACTTCTTTTCCAAAATGTTTTAAATAAAAAGTAATTCCATCACACAACTGTGCACGTGTATGTTAGAACAAAAAATGTCAACAGAAACAATATGAAAACTCGGAATGGAATGACATATTTGACGAGTATCTAAATCCCAGGATAACTAGATACATACCACATGTGTGATGGGCAAAGCAGCTAAAATCCACCATATCCAGTTCTGGAAAGCATCCTCTATTTGCTCTTCAGGAACTCCAAATTTGGACAGAGTTGAAAAGGCACCTCTCTGAAGATAAAATATGTAAAATAAATATGTAGTACTTAAAGATGCAAACATTATAATAAACTTAATAACACATGAGACATGTTAGTAATCTACTTGAAATTATACAAAATTTAACTAGCTATAACTTTTAACACTTACAATATGCTTTTTACCCAGGATCACTGCTGCTCTCCAGTGTGCTTCATTTGCAATTTTAGTCTGCGTAAGAAACTTATTCTGAGCTCCACAAACAAGGGCAGCCATGCAGTTGTAGGCATCCACTTCTGTTGACAAATCATGAAACTTCAAGCACTATGTTTATGATACACTGACATATTACACAACATTCTTTTACCAATATCTAAACAGTTTTTTTTGCCACAGAAAGATGCAGGAAAATCTTAACACAACATACCATCCATGTAATGAAGTAATAAAGATGTCATGGCATACAGAGCTGGAGCATATGTGATGGCTGGGTGACTGAATGCTATCACAGAGATAACCCTTTCACAGGCTGTTACTCCTCTAGGTGAAAGGGACTGAGATATCTTGTATTTTGTATCAATGAAGGCTGGCAACTGGACACTACACTCCAAGAGTTCTGTGAACAATCGACTGTTAGATCTCCAGATGATTTAGTATCTTTTTTCAAACATCAACACAGTAGTAAAATGAGTCTTTGAATTACAAAATTTCAATGATTATTAAACATTAAATGTTAAAGAAAAATTTTTTTACACACTGTTTTAAACATAACTGTGTGCATACATTACAATTCAAATAACCCTCTGAAATACATTCCCACCCATTATGCCTAGGTAGAGTGATCTAAAGAAAACACATTCACTCAATCACCATCTTTCTAGAAATGTGCTGACATCACTATGAGTTTACCCCTCTGACTTCAACATCCCCACCCCTCCTTCAAAGTGTAAGCACTGCCCTTCCCATCTCCAGGACCAATCTAACCAGTTTCCCTGAATCCTTTCATAAAAGTTGCCTTGCTCACATTCCAACAGCATGTCATTAAAAATCACTTGTCTCCATTCACTCTTATCTAACACGCTCACACAGGCTGTTGGATGCTTAAGCCCCTAAAATTCAAAAGCCTTGTGTATCCCCCTTCTTCCAACCATTCCTAGGATGACCCCTCTTTTTTTACCTTCCACCCCACATTTATCCACCCTTTAGTCAACCTATCCCTGTCCATCCTCTCTATATTTCCATAAACAAATACACATACAGAAAGTAAAATATTTTTTTTTATTTTTTTTTTAAATAAAGGATAATGAATTACTGAATATTTCTGGAAATACACACTTACCAGTGGTTCCATAAATCTGCTTCACAGTATCCCAGTAATAGTAGTCTCCAAAATCTTTTTCAGAAGAATGATGACGGCATATCTCACGCCAAAGGTTTTCACGGGCTGGACTACCTAGACTCCAGTCTGTCTCCCGAACAATATACTTGGCCTGAAGAATGACATTAATACATCTTACTGGTAAGTAACTGAATTTTTGTCTATTGAAAGAATTAGAGGCAAGACAGAATGTAGAATTGCAGATGAGCAAGGAGGTTTCAGAGTGGGTAGGGGATGTGTAGATCAAGTGTTTACACTGAAGCGTATGTGAACAGTATTTAGATAAAGGTAGGGAAGTTTTTATTGCATTTATGGATTTAGAAAAGGCATATGATAGAGTGGATAGAGGAGCAATGTGGCAGATGTTGCAAGTATATGGAATAGGTGGTAAGTTAGTAAATGCTGTAAAGAGTTTTTATGAGGATAGTGAGGCTCAGGTTAGGGTGTGTAGAAGAGAGGGAGAATACTTCCCGGTAAAAGTAGGTCTTAGACAGGGATGTGCAATGTCACCATGGTTGTTTAATATATTTATAGATGGGGTTGTAAAAGAAGTAAATGCTAGGGTGTTCGGAAGAGGGGTGGGATTAAATTATGGGGAATCAAATACAAAATGGGAATTGACACAGTTACTTTTTGCTGATGATACTGTGCTTATGGGAGATTCTAAAGAAAAATTGCAAAGGTTAGTGGACGAGTTTAGGAGTGTGTGTAAAGGTAGAAAGTTGGAAGTGAACACAGAAAAGAGTAAGGTGATGAGGGTATCAAATGATTTAAAGAAAAATTGGATATAAAATTAGGGAGGAGTAGTATGGAAGAAGTGAATGTTTTCAGATAATTGGGAGTTGACTTGTCAGCGGATGGATTTGTGAAAGATGAGGTTAATCATAGAATTGGTGATGGAAAAACGGCGAGTGGTGTGTTGAGGTATATGTGGAGAAAAAAAAACGTTTTCTATGGAGGCAAAGAAGGGAATGTATGAAAATATAATAGTACCAACACTCTTATATGGGTGTGAAGCTTGGGTTGTGAATGCAGCAGCGAGGAAGCGGTTGGAGGCAGTGGAGATGTCCTGTCTAAGGGCAATGTGTGGTGTAAATATTATGTAGAAAATTCGGAGTGTGGAAATTAGGAGAGGGTGTGGAGTTAATAAAAGTATTAGTCAGAGGGCTGAAGAGGGGTTGTTGAGGTGGTTTGGTCATTTAGAGAGAATGGATTAAAGTAGAATGACATGGAAAGCGTATAAATCTGTAGGGGAAGGAAGGCGGGGTAGGGGTCGTCCTCGAAAAGGTTGGAAGGAAGGGGTAAGGGAGGTTTTGTGGGTGAGGGGCTTGGACTTCCAGCAGGCGTGCATGAGTTTGTGCGTTAGGAGTGAATGGAGACGAATGTTATATGTGAGCAGGGTAATATTTAGTGAAGGGATTCAGAGAAACCGGTTTTTATATAGCCAGACTTAAGTCTTGGAAATGGAAGTACAATGCCTGCACTCTAAAGGAGGGGTCCGGGATATTAGCAGTTTGGAGGGATATATTGTGTATCTTTACACGTATATGCTTCTAAACTGTTGTGTTCTGAGCACCTCTGCAAAAACAGTGATTATGTGTGAGTGAGGTGAAAGTGTTGAATGATGATGAAAGTATTTTCTTTTTGGGGATTTTCTTTCTTTTTGGGTCACCCTGCCTCGGTGGGAGACGGCCAATTTGTTAAAAAAAAAAAAATATATATATATACAGATATAATACTGACATACATGGATTTGAAAAAAATGTCAAACAAGTTTTATTATCACAACAATGTTGCAACAAGGGTCTATTCCAAGAAAGTTACTCTGCAGAATAATGTAATTGGCCTAAAATGGGAGTCAAAGTCGGCAAAATCGCTGATGTGTAAATACCGCTAACACATCAAAATTTGCGAGAGCATATTTTCGTCAATTTCCATCAAATTTCATACTTTTTGTTTTATTACCTTCAGAAAAATATTCTCTACCATTTCAAAAGAAAAAAATAACAAAATTATTTTTTGAAAGTTCTTGGAACCTGGTGCACACTTTGAAATTTGGCCTCTGGCCCCTGAAAGGGTTAAGATACACACTGAGGCATGCCAAGTTTACCTCTTTCATTCTCCCTGCTTGTATCAATGCTTCAATGTCCTCCCACTTGGCCATTGATGTCTCGTCTGCTGTGTGTGCAAGATTATGAACAGGGATCCTGGACATATCCACATGACCTGAGAAGGGTGGAGGATTGGTAGGAGTTTTGTCATCTGACAGAGCTTCAGCATGATGACCACCACCAACTGTCATCTTGATGAAATTACCGAGAAGTTTTACCTGAAATACAATGTGTTCATCCTAATAAGGTCTATCATGGTAAGCCTTAAGTGCTAATGTGAATTACTCTCTCTAAATGTTTGCCGAGTTAAAAAATGTTCCTTAACATTAAGTTCAATTACTGTACCTCTTAAGAAAATGAAAGTAAAGATATCTATAATATATTTACAGTACATGTATATACATACAATTAATGCTATTAAACAGCATCACTAACTTTTATTTATTCCATGAATATCTTCATGATAACACAACTTACCTGTTTCTTAACCTCAGAAATGCGTTTGTTTTTTGTTGATCCGTCTACTGGCCACTGTATTAGAGATTTTGGGTAAGCTGAAATAGGGATTGCCTTGCTGACACTCTGTAATAAGAGTCAATATGAGAATTAACATACACTATATCAATGTTTTTTCATACTGAGTTAAAATTATTGGGAAATATCAGTTTCAATATAACAAAAATTGTAAAAGGTAGCATGTCCATAAATACAATATAGTATATATTAAGTAACTCAACAAATCATGAGGATATTAAGCTTTATAATCAATATTTTTAAGTCCTGCGTAGGAATTATAATGTTGTACTGAAAAATTATTAACCAAGACTTCTTGGTTATTAATAGAAAGAATAACATGGCAAAATTTACAGATCTAAAGAAACAATATACTAAATGTTATGGCTACCTTTAGCTGATTGAGATCAAGGATATCCGTTTGATTGTTGTTGGTAGCATTATATTCAGGATTGGGCTTCCATTCATTACTGCTATCAACGCAACTATCGTAGGCTGGTGTGTCGCAGAAGTCTGGAATCAGGCCGTACTCGTGCTGTAGTGACTGCCTCCTGTTCTTATGTTGGTTGCTGGGGTGTTCACTGCTACTATGGCTTTGAGGTTTCTTGAGTGAACTTAACCGTGGTCGATGAGGGTGGTTGGTGTCCTCATGACTGGTAATGCCCCGTGTGGCTGCAAAGGCCGCAGGGTAAATATATGCTATAATGTCATAGGTCAACATTTTAATGGTATCAGGGATAGCTGAATGATAACAGCACTAAACTGGTTAAGTCTAGAGGGTGGCACTTAGTACCAATGCAGAAGAGGAAATTTAACCACAATTTAAAAAGGAAACTAGAACGAAGGGTTATGACCAGGTTTTTAAGTTGGTCTGACAGGATGAGTTGAGAATAAGCTGAATGGTTCACAATGAAAGTTCTGTCACTTCACTTTTGTTAGTCCATCACAATTTTTCCTTTTTTCATGTAACAATTTTTTTTTTATGTAAACACCTGAAAATACATTATGATATATTAAAGTCTGGTTACAACTGCTTCATTTTTTAGCTGATGAATAATAATCTGCAGTAATGAAATAAATATTTATCAAACCTTAGAGATCTACTGACATGGGATACTAGTATGCAAAACTGATACATACTAATGAACATACTGTATGTAAACAGTAACTAATAAACAGTACAGTATAGTGGTACTTTTTTTTTTAAGTACAATACTCTTAAATGTTCACTATGAGTACTGTGAAACTATGTTCACTAACAGGAATATTGTGAAATTATGTTCATCATAACATGGGCATCATGATAATATATTCACCATAACACAGGTAGCGAAAATGTTAGTTTTCTAAACACTTTATACAGCTGAAAATGTTCACTGTAACATGGGTACTGTGAAATATGTTCACTATAATATTTCATACTGTAAAACTTCACCGTAACATGAGTATTCTCTCTCTTACTGTGAAACAATGTTCACAACAAGAGCATTGTTAAACTAAGTTCACCAAAACATGAATATGCTGACTGTGTTCACTATGACAATGCAATTATGCTCAGTATAATGCGAGTACTGTAAAACTAGATTACTACGAATACAGTAAAACTGTTTACCATAATACGACTACAGTATAAACTTCAGTAACTGATGCATGCGGTTTAAAAGGACACATGAGCAAACACTAGGTCACGTTTATTAACAATTATAATAGAGTAATAAATACGATTTATTGTTTGCACACTTATTGTAACCACAGCTAGAGTTAGGTTATCATGGACAGCCTCTCTGTCCACCTGTAAGACCTGTTAATAAGCTTGGCTGGCATATTATCCAGGCGACTGTAGCAAGATCATGTCATAATATACTGAAACCTCAAGATCTCTAATACTTCAGCAGCTTTACTGTAATGAGACGTCTAAACGCAAGGTTATCCTAGATTAAGTCAAGTGTAGACTTTTCTGAAAAATGGTTATCTTAACTTATTCACTCGTCAAATTGCAGGTTTTACTGGTTTTCTCAAAACACTAAAAAAAAATCCCGAGAGTAGGAATTGGTAGACAAAGTAAGACTTGCCTAAAATGGGCAAGTAAGCCTACTACAGTATGCCTCAATTTTCAATTCGCTTATTTACTAAGCAATACGCCTTATCATCCACTCTCATATGCACAATTCTTGAAATGCGCACATCTTATAAATCAATGACCTTGATTAACACTTAAAAGTTATCATAGCACTATTTCTATCCAGATGTCATCTGCTAGACTTTCATCTGGTGTCCTGTTCATCAGTCTTGAACAACACATGGTTAAGACCAGAGATGCTTCACTACAGCCACACTCCATCACAGTAGTTACAACACTAAGCTTGTATACAAGTAGTTGCTAATTTTCCTTATCTTTGATGAACAGCAACTGATAATATGTATCTAATCACTTGTTTGTTAAGAGCTTTTAATGGGGGCAATGATCTTTACTATTTTCGTTTCATTGTTTTTAGCACTTACGATTAACATTATATATTATCATGATGTGCAAGACGCGCTATATCTTTAATGACGAAATGTTTCTCTCATTCTTCAAGGTTTCACTCCTCATTTAAGTGAGGTTCCTTGGTGCCGGTAAAGCTCTTCATCTATGGAATTGGACCCGTGCTCCGTTTCCTTGGATCGAACCTGAATGTCTCACATTCCCCCAGACGCTGCAAAATCCTTAAATAAGAAAGCGGGAGAACTGTAGCAGGCCTACTGGAGTTGAGCGTTTCCTCCCTCATGAATATAATAATCTCCAGGTTCCACCAATCGAATAAAGAGGTTACAGAAATCCTAGAGACAGTAAACATGGAGAGGCAGTTTAGGATGATTAGTCCCTCGACCTTCAAGGAAGATGGTCACTTTCTTAGCCAGGCTAAGAGATGGCATTAGTTGTAAATGATAAAGACAAGCAACAGAAACGAAAAAAAGAGTTGAACAGGCACAATACATGAGTAGGTGTGTTAGACCTGCCTAACATGGGCCAGTAGGGATGTTGTGGATCTCCTCTAGTCTTGTTATTATATTATGTAACTGGGAACGTTTTTAAGATAAAAAAAAAAGCCTGCTCAGGCAAAATGTTAAGTCATTAGATTTAAAAAAAAAAAATGCTGCGCATGCGAAAAGTTGTCTGCTGCTTGTGTCTTTATCAACTACAAAATAAATTTACAATTGTTGCACACGTCTTTATTGTGTATGGACCAGTATGCTTACTGGAAATTTCTAACAAGAACCACGTTACAAATTTCACCCCATTCCATTAAAGTCAGCAGAGGTAATAAACGATAGAGGATATGAACATAATTAGAACCAAAGAGTATACGAAATTAGTCCTAAATGCTTCTTCCTGATATACAGGATTATGTTCTGATGTTATATTTTCGTGTGCTAACCAGTGGACCAACTGTTTCTATGGTTAGCACACGGGCCTCTTCGAGTTTTAGGACTCGATTGTCATAGGTTCAAGCCCACCCATTCTGTGATAATGAGTGTCACTGGCACGTTTGTAAGACCACATTCAGATTATGCAGCACATTTCTGGTCTCTTGAGGCCTCTGAGTAGGATTGCAGTAGATCAGTGTACCTTTATTCTTATATTAGAAAATGAACATAAATACACTTGAAACCTTACATGAAGGGTCAACATATCTAATCTACATACAAAAAATCTACAGAGACAAATTAGTGGCACCGGACTTTCTCTCCAGAAAGGTGTCTAATACCAGGAGACGGGGGACATAAATGATGTACAGTGGAGTAGAACAAACTGGCAAGTGGTTATTAAGCAAATATTTTTTGGTAGATTAAAAAAAATCGGTTCAACAATGAAATGAATGAGAACAGTTGGGTGTAAGATCTGCCTGTGGTGGCACCAATAAGCCTATTTCCGAGCTTATATTTTTATTTGCACTGTTTAGTTGCATCTTTTTAAAACAATTATGACATGTTCTTTCTATTATTCATATAATATTTACATACGCAGATAAAACCAAATAAAAAGATAACAATATTGAGGCAACTTAATGGGAAGACTTCATTGGGTTATTGTGGGTTAAATTCTGCGTAAGTTACTATATAAAACCACTGAAAAATTTCAAGTTATAAATGAGGCCTAAATAAAAACTTATTTACTTGTCAACGATTCCGCAATATGGCATATGAGTTACCTAGACTTTCTTAGTTACCAAGATCATATCGTTTTATTCTGCAACTGTCCACAATTAAAATGCTCAAACTTACTAAGCTTCGTTTCAAAATAAAGACAAAAGCTTAGTCAATTAATGTAAATATAAATACAAATTAACCGTTAACACATGGCTTAAAAAAATAATCACTCGTAAGTTTAAATATGCAAGCTTACCACACGTCCCGACAGTCATGATGGCAGTCGAAATGCAGGTCTGATTAAACGAACAGGTTATAGCTGTTGATAATTTTGCTGTAGTCTTGATAAATAATGTGCAATCTTACTGCTCGTCTTGTAGCAGATCCGGTAAACAATTTATCTGTTGACACTCTTCCTCCTCCTCTTGCAAAAGGCAGTGTAAAATATAATCTTATGTTCACTACGATGGTTCAACATGAAATTGAGCGTAGTGAACAGTTCTTTCTCCAACCTGATTACCTCTTGGAAACTCGTATAGATACACTTAAGCCTTACTCTCAACTAGTACCCTTTTCCAGCCTGCTGGTGCTTATATAGTGTCAGGTGTAGCGGGCAGATGCCACATACCATTATCACTACAGCCTTTAATCAATCAGGATTTTTTTTTTTATTCTATCTCGAACTTACAATATTTGTACTGAATTTGCCTATAGTTCAATGCACATATGAAGAGTGAATGGAAATATATTGGAGGAAAATTCCAAGCATGAGGCTACTATAGGCATGTGACAATATTTATAGGAGCGGTAACATCTGAGCTCCTTACCACTGTGAGAGGAGAGTTATTGCCAAGTGTTCCCATCAAGTTTATTTATTTTCTTGTACCCGAAAGCAAAGTAACTTAGGTAGTATTATATATATATCTACATCTGTGTATAATCAGGTAATACACAATAATAAATTTCCAAAGAATAATATTTTGTTTCAACTTATAAAATTTCCTAGGAGCCTTGCGACAACTCTGAATTACTGAATGAATGAAAGGTTTACAGGACAGATGTGTCATGCGTGTGTGTGTACTCACCTATTTGTGGTTGCAGGGGTCGATTCATAGCTCCTGGCCCCGCCTCTTCGCTGATTGCTACTAGGTCCTCTCTCTCAATGCCCCATGAGCTTTATCATACCTCGCCTTAAAACTATGTATGGTTCCCGCCTCCACTACGTCACTTTCTAGGCTATTCCACGGCCTGACTACTCTATGACTGAAGAAATACTTCCTAACATCCCTTTGATTCATCTGAGTCTTCAACTTCCAATTGTGACCTCTTGTGTCTGTGTCCCTTCTCTGGAACATCCCGTCTTTGTCCACCTCGTCTATTCCGCGCAGTATTTTATATGTCGTTATCATGTCTCCCCTGACCCTCCTGTCCTCCAGTGTCGTCAGGCCGATTTCCCTCAACCTTTCTTCGTAGGGCAATCCCCTTAGCTCTGGGACTAGTCTTGTTGCAAACCTTTGCACTTTCACTAATTTATTGACGTGCTTGACAAGGTGTGGATTCCAAACTGGTGCTGCATACTCCAGTATGGGCCTGACGTAAATGGTATACAGAGTCTTGAACGAATCCTTACTGAGGTATCGGAACGCTATCCGTACGTTTGCCAGACGCCCGTATGCTGCAGCAGTTATCTGATTGATGTGCGCCTCAGGAGATATGCTCGGTGTTATACTCACCCCCAGATCTTTTCCTTGAGTGAGGTTTGGAGTCTTTGGCCATCTAAACTATATTGTGTCTGCGGTCTTCTTTGCCCTTCCCCAATCTTCATGACTTTGCATTTGGCAGGGTTAAACTCAAAGAGCCAGTTGCTGGACCAGGCTTGTAGCCTGTCCAGGTCTCTTTGTAGTCCTGCCTGATCCTCATCCGATTTGATTCTTCTCATTAACTTCACATCATCTGCAAACAAGGACACTTCTGAGTCTATCCCTTCCGTTGTCATTCACATATACCAAGAACAGCACAGGTTCTAGGACTGACCCCTGTGGAACCCCGCTTGTCACAGGCGCCCACTCTGACACCTCGTCACGTACCATGACGCGTTGTTGCCTCCCTGTGTGTGTGTGTGTGTGTGTGTGTGTGTGTGTGGTGTGTGTGTGTGTGTGTGTACTCACCTATTTGTGGTTGCAGGGGTCGATTCATAGCTCCTGGCCCCGCCTCTTCGCTGATTGCTACTAGATCCTCTCTCTCCCTGCTCCATGAGCTTTATCATGCCTCGCCTTAAAACTATGTATGGTTCCCGCCTCCACTACGTCACTTTCCAGGCTATTCCACGGCCTGACTACTCTATGACTGAAGAAATACTTCCTAACATCCCTTTGATTCATCTGAGTCTTCAACTTCCAATTGTGACCTCTTGTTTCTGTGTGTGTGTGTGTGTGTGTGTGTGTACTCACCTAATTGTGGATGCAGGGGTCGAGACTCAGCTCCTGGCCCCTGTGTGTGTGTGTGTGTGTGTGTGTGTGTGTGTGTGTGTGTGTGTGTGTGTGTGTGTATACTCACCTAGTTGAGGTTGCGGGGGTCGAGTCCGAGCTCCTGGCCCCGCCTCTTCACTGATCGCTACTAGGTGTGTGTGTGTGTGTGTGTGTGTGTGTGTGTGTGTGAGAGAGAGAGAGAGAGAGAGAGAGAGAGAGAGAAGAGAGAGAGAGAGAGGAGAGAGAGAGAGAGAGGTGAGAGAGAGAGAGGTGAGAGAGAGGTGAGAGAGAGAGGTGAGAGAGAGAGAGGTGAGAGAGAGAGAGGTGAGAGAGAGAGGTGAGAGAGAGAGAGAGGTGAGAGAGGTGAGAGAGAGGTGAGAGAGGAGAGAGAGAGAGAGAGAGAGAGAGAGAGAGAGAGAGAGAGAGAGAGAGAGAGAGAGAGAGAGAGGTGAGAGAGAGGTGAGAGAGAGAGGGTGAGGAGTGAGAGGAGAGATGGAGAGAGGAGGTGAGAGGAGAGAGAGGTAGGAGAGAGAGGGAGAGGTGAGGAGAGGGTGAGAGAGAGAGGTGAGGGGAGTGAGGAGAGAGAGAGGTGAGAGAGAGAGAGAGGTGAGAGAGGTAGAGAGAGGTGAGAGAGAGAGAGAGAGAGAGAGAACATAAGAACATAAGAACATAAGAACGAAGGAACACTGCAGAAGGCCTACTGGCCCATGCGAGGCAGGTCCAAGTCCCTACCGGCTTAAGCCAATGCACCCAACCTAGTCAGGTCAGGTCACACTGACTTAAGGGAGGAACACGGCAACCGACCTGTTAGCACAAGCTATCAGGTCTAACTCACACCCACCCACATCTACTCATGTATTTATCCAACCTATTTTTAAAGCTACACAACGTTCTGGCCTCTATAACGGTACTTGGGAGTTTGTTCCACTCATCCACAACTCTATTACCAAACCAGTACTTTCCTATATCCCTCCTGAATCTGAATTTTTCCAACTTAAAACCATTGCTGCGAGTCCTGTCTAGGCTAGATATTTTCAGCACACTATTTACATCCCCTTTATTTATTCCTGTCTTCCACTTATAAACCTCAATCATATCCCCCCTAATTCTACGTCTTTCTAGAGAGTGCAGTTTCAGGGCCCTTAGTCTATCCTCATAGGGAAGGTTTCTGATACATGGGATCATCTTTGTCATCCTCCTTTGTACATTTTCCAGAGAATTTATATCCATTCTGTAATACGGTGACCAAAACTGTGCAGCATAATCTAAATGAGGCCTAACCAAGGATGTATAGAGTTGAAGAACAACCTGAGGACTCCTATTATTTATGCTTCTTGATATGAAGCCAAGGATTCTATTAGCTTATTGCGAACACTTATGCACTGTTGTCTTGGTTTCAGATTACTGCTAACCAGAACTCCTAAATCTTTTTCGCAATCCGTAATATTAAGATCTACATTATTTAGTTTATATGTGGCATGGTTATTGTCCTGTCCAACATTTAGAACTTTGCATTTGTCTATATTAAACTGCATCTGCCACTTCTCCGACCACTGCATCAGTCTATTCAAATCTTCCTGGAGTGCTCGAATGTCCTCGTCAGAATGAATTCGACGGCCTATTTTGGTGTCATCGGCAAACTTGCCGATGTCGCTCTTTATGCCCTCATCTATGTCGTTTATGTAGATTGTGAACAGCAGGGGGCCCAACACTGACCCCTGTGGAACACCGCTCGTGACGCTTCCCACTCTGATTTCTCCCCATTTATGCAAACTCTCTGCTGCCTATTTGTCAACCATGCCTCTATCCAGGAAAAAATTTCTCCTCCTATTCCATGTGCTTTAATTTTCCTCAATAGTCTCTGATGTGGGACCCTGTCAAAAGCCTTACTGAAGTCCATATACACAATATCATATTCGTTACCATGATCTACCTCCTCAAATACCTTAGTGAAAAAAGTTAATAAATTCGTAAGGCAGGAACGTCCCTTTGTAAAACCATGCTGAGATTCGTTGATTAATTTATGCTTTTCAAGGTGGCTACGAACTGCCTCGGCAATTATTGATTCCATAAATTTTCCCACTATGGAGGTTAGGCTTATTGGTCTATAGTTCGAAGCTAAGGACCTGTCACCTGTTTTGAAAATAGGTATCACATTTGCCATTTTCCACTTATCTGGCACCATGCCAGTTTGTAGTGATATGTTGAAAAGATTAGCCAAAGGTGTGCTAAGCTCCTCTTTACATTCCTTTAGAACCCTTGCATACAGTTCATCAGGGCCTGGGGATTTGTTAGGTTTTAATTTATCTATTTGCCTAGGACCATGTCACTTGTTGACCCTAATAGTGCACAGTTTATTATCGTCCTGTTCTACATAATTTATCATTACTGGAATATCACTGGTATCCTCCTGTGTAAAAACTGAGAGGAAGTATGTGTTAAAAATTCTACACATTTCCTTATCACTGTCAGTGAGCTGACCCGAGGAACTTTTGAGTGGGCCTATCTTGTCCCTGATCTTACTTCTGTATACCTGAAAAGATTCCTTTTGGGTTAGTCCTTCGATTCATCTTGCAACTTTAACCTCATAATCTCTTTTTGCTTTTCTAATTCCCTTTTTTATTTCTCTCTTTAACTGAATATATCGATTTCTTAATTGCCCCTCTCCTCTTTTGATTTGCCTATATATGCCTCTCTTTTGACCAATCAGATATTTTAATCTATTGTTCATCCATTTAGGATCATTTTTGTTTGATCTGATTTCCCTATTTGGAACATAATTTGACTGAGCAGCTAGAACTATGCCCTGGAAAGCATCATATCGGCAACCATCACCACCAAACTGACCCCTAGTCAGGTCATTCCAGTTCAGCCCACCTAAGTAATTTTTCAGTCCTATGAAATCAGCCAAGCGAAAGTCAGGGACGGAGACTTGATTGCCATTATTAGGGGAATTCCATGATATGTTAAAACTGAGTGATTTGTGATCACTCTCCCCAAGCTCATCATTAACCTCAAGATTATTAATTAGTTTTTCCCCTACTGGCAAGAACCAAGTCAAGGAGGTTATTTCCCCCTAGTTGGCTCTGTCACAAACTGTTTTAAAAAACAA